TCATTTAAACTTAACGAATATACAGTGTGAGTATGATCAGTTAAGTTTTAATAACACACCCATTTATTCTATTTCATCCAAAATTTTATTGTATTATCTAGACCCCCTGAGATAATTAGATCATCTGAGTAGTTCAACAATAGACACAATATAGCATTTGTATGTCCATTTAATTTTTATTAACATTTCCATTTATTTTGTTTCACCATCTACCATATTATAATCTATTGATCATTACTACCAGATACGAAATTATTTGAATAATTCATGAAATTTAAAGTCAAAACAGTATCTTTATGTTCACTTAACAATGATATTTAATTCAATCTCCCTTTTAAATGTTAAAATACTTTAATATTATTTTTAGATCCAGCTATCACGATTGAATTATCTGTATTAAAGGCAATAGCACAACATGGTTCCTCTTACTTAATTGAATTTTAATACATTAGCTCAAAAGTGTTAAAATGCTTTTGTTAAACTAAAATCTGTTTTTCTTAATTTTATTATAAAATTTAAAAATTATCTTTTTCCTGCAAAGTTGTTATATTCTTAATTTTTTTTGCAATTTCATTTCCAATCTATGTTATGTATTAGATTTATTAATTAACTTGTTTATATAAGTTTTCTTCGCAATCTTCTAGATAACATAAATCTTTAATTAAATTGTCAATCTGTGAAATTTCTAAATCTTGAATTTATTATAAATTAAATTTATTAGAAGAAAGGAAAAAATTGATAAGACTATCTAAAGTAAGCTTGCACTCTTAAACTATCTTTTGAACATTCCAAACTCTAATGATTCTTTCTTTAATCCATTCCTATGAAAGTTCCAAAGATGTTAATTTATTCAGATGTTCAATATGGCTAGGCAAGCAAAAATTACAATAAGGTCTTTTGTTTGGACATGTACTACTTATACAAAACCCTATTATTTGTTGATTTTGATGATCAGCTTAATTACATCTCATATTCATTTTCTATTATAATTAATATTGAAATTTTATCAATTATCCTGAATTATATTAATCTAAACTTAATGAATATAGAATTAAAAAACTCCAAAATAAAATTTAATTGATACAAAAAAATAGATTAATATTCAAATTCGTAAGCTCTCTAATATCAGTTGATATAAATAACAATCAGCCTATTCTTTTTAAACTAAAAATAACCCTTAGATATTAATAACTTTTGATGCTTTGCTATTTATATTTTTACAGTTAACAGAATTTATACATAATTAAATTTTCAAAGTATCGATTTGTTACAATTCCAATTAAATCAATTCAAATATTGAATATAATTACTGTTTTAGACTGTTGTTATCATCCAATAGAAAAAAATTAAGTTTTTGAGTATATTATTGCATTCATAATTAACTTATTTCTAATTTTAGAAACTAATAGTATAGATTAAGATTATTACAATTGGCCTCTTAGATTTTTGAATGCTAGCAAAGAGTATTCTTGATTACAATTTATTTTTTAAACAAGACAAGAATCATATGAAATTCAAATATTTATTTAAATATTCTTTTTACTATTAATATATAAGAATGCTTAAAGAAATAGCATAATATTGATAATTTAGAAGATAATTATTTATAAATTCTCAAATATATATAGAATAAATGAGAATCTTGATTCAAAAACAATTATAAAATAGTACCCTAAGAAACTCTAAAATCATACAGAGAATAAAAGATCCACAAAGAACACTATTTAGAAAAACTATTTCAATAAATGAATTAACGACCGAGTAAAAATACCTTCTTCAAATAAATAATTATACATTTAAAGTAACGCAGACAGAATGTAGTGATTGGGAGGACTATATCTAATTTCTTTTAATTTTTTTCTTTTGGTTGATATTTTAATTCAAAATTTCAAATACTAGCATCTATTTAGATAGACTCTATTTTATTTTCTGCTCCTTAAAGAAACAAAATTCCAAATTGTGTTCAGAAAATACATCTAAAATTATACAGTGTAACGGGATGTTCACAAATGGAAAAACTTCAATCAAATTTTCATTTTTAACTACTTCAACCACTTTATGTTCTGATATGTGAGTAAAGAGATCCTACAAGCGCTGAAGATTGTAATGTATTAATAAAGAATGTATAATACCAATATATAAATAGTATATGTATAACTAGCTAAAGAGCTTTTATTGATTATTAATTAAATGGAATCATTTTTATTGTTCAGCTTTGAAATCTAATAATTCTGGAATTGCTCAATAATGTGCTTGTAATTCAACCATTATTCTCATTTATGTGATAGAATTATTATTTTGTTTGTTTCAACTTATTCTCCAACATTTATCATTCTAGCAGCTTGTACAATTATTGAATCCCAAATATTGTTGCATGGTTAGAGTTGATAATTGAACTATAACTATTATTCAGCCTTTCTACACTAGAGTTGTATAGGCAAGTAACAATTTTCTAAAAATATATTTGACAATATACTTTTAGATACTGCTCTTATAATCCAAAAGGCGATGGAGTTTGTGCTACAGAAAAAAATTCTAGTACTGAATTTAATGGTGTAAATGGTTCCAATCATACTAATAAAGCATTAACTTGATCTAAACTCAAAAATAAAAACAAGTAGTTCTTATGCTGATATTGCAGGGAAACTAATTGTTTTCATATAGCAATTAAGGCAGCATCGTACACAGTGAAAACAATTGGAATTACAAAAGATGGTGATGCAAAAACAATCTTAGGATTCAAATGGCTTAATACTGATGCTACTTATAAAGCAAGAGATGCTAATAATACTGCAGCCTTAAACCCTTAAAATGATTTAAGTGCCACTAATTGCTAAAATAATACTATTTTTTTAATTCTTAAATTATCTATTTATATCAATCAACTAAATAAAGTTAAAATATTTTTTTTGTTTTTAATAAAAGTTTAGCCTTACATTTACACTTAATAATTTTTATCCCCATTTCATATCGGCCACGATCATGCCAACAAACAATTTTTTTTTGGTTTATTTAATTATTTTTTTCTACAAGAAATATTATAATTAATTTATGAATTACATTATAAAAAGAAACGAATGTAATAGTAAATTTAGTAAGTCATCATAAAAGAATTATTATTTGTTATCGAAATAGACATATTTTGTATAAAGCCTCAGCAAAAATATCTAATTGTCTTTTTATATTTATATAAAGAATCAAGATTAGAAAAATTAGAATTTCTCTGTCAAAATAAACTTATTTTTATAACTGATCCAATTAATAAAAAAATACTCAAATTTAGAAAAACCACTACTTTGTTTCTCACGAAAAAGAAATATACTCCATTAATCTTGCACTTGTGATTCATTTATTGAATGTCCCATTAAGAAAAAGATTGAAATAAAATATAAAAAAAATCATCAAATACTTGATTGAAAAAATACCAAATTTATTTCTAAAACAAACAAAAAGGCTTTTTTCAATTGTAATTAAAACAAACTATAAATAATTATAAAAAAATCGGAACTTTGATATTAAACTAGGTTTTGATTTCCTTAAATTTTATGGATTATTTAAAAAAAATTCAATACTTCTTAACAATGAGTAATAACAACTTATAGGAAAAAGAGATTGTTGATGCGTTTATGCATTATAAAAGAAGCTAAGTACGATTATTAAATGGAGTTGTTTTAGGAGTTTAAAATTACTTATAGAACAGAAGAAGCATTGTTAGTAATTAATAATGCCTTGTGTCTTAAGATTAATCCAAACTTTGCAATGTGTTATAGTAGGATGGGTAATAAAGTAAACATAAATTTAAAGGCACTATTATGAGCTATTTTAAATAAAAGGAAAATGAACTCTAATATTACAATTAAGCTATATAAAATGATGGGAACTGTTATTATGCATTCATGTGTAAGGTAATTTAAAATGTTTATTTTAAGGTTTGTATTTATGAGGATGAAAATATGATTGATTATTCACTTTGAGATTTATATTAAGCAGTAGAAATCAATCCTTATTATAGTTTGGCTTATTTTAACAAAGGTAAATACCATTAAGCTCAATATATAAGCCCTTTTATATCAAAATATTGGTGAGAAGGACAAAGCATTAAATGACTATAATAAAGCAATTCAACTTGATCCAAATGATGCAGAAGCCTATTACAATAGAGGTAAAAACGATTATTAATTAAATATTAGCCATACTATATTAAGAAATAGGTGAGAATGAGAAAGCATTAAATGATTTTAATCAGGCATTCCAATTGAATCCCAATTTCGTTAATGCATTTTATCGAAAAAGTGTTATCGCTTTATTAGGATTTTAGGTCTTCTTTTATAGGATTCGCACAATATGAACTAGCAATAATTTACTTTGATAAAATGGTTTCTATTGATCCAAATCATTTTTAAGCTTATTTTAAAAAATGTTTTATGTTAATTAACAATTTAGCAAATTAATTAGAATAATTGAACCAAAATTTATAAGCTATAAAATATTTAAAAAAAGAATTAGTATTAAACCATCCTTTTGAAAATTTGATTTCTTAAACAATCAGCATACTTCAAGCATTTTTTTGAGAATGAACTTTCAAGCATTAAATAATAATAATTTATTATTGGGACACAAGATACCTTCTCTATTATTTTTTAAGTGAAACTCCTTTTTGATATTTTTTTTCGAATATCTTCTAATCTATTTTCTTAACATTCTTTTCAAGGTTTCTTAACTTAAACTTTTGATTATTATTTACCAAAAAATATTAATTTTCTTAGAGATTCTTTCAGAATACATTTTAATAGTCAACTTAAATATTTATCATGTTTCAGGAAAAGGATAAATTCTCAAAATTTAAATATTACCTAAAATATGAAACCATAGCAATAGTGTGGAATTAATAGAATATTTTAATTCAATCTAATTGTTATGGATTGTAATTATTACCAAAAAAATCAATTAAAAATCTATCTAAATCCCAATCAACTTTTTTATTTTATAAATAAGAATTACAAAGGCGAATGATATTTTTAATACTTTTACAAAACCATTTCACATTAGAGTATTTATCTACTTATTTAAATCTTATTATCTTTACTGGTTATTAATTGTCCAAATATTAATAAGACAATACATTATTTGCATGTACAAAATATATCTTTGGCAACATTTAAAAAATAAAATCTGAAATTAATCATTGTTAATCCAAATATTTTCTTAATTAACTTATTTTACAATTAATAAAAGAATTTCTATCGAACAAAAACACTAAGTATTTTTTAGTTTTGACATCAGTGAGGATATTTTACGACAACTCTTAAGAAAATATTATTCTATTTTTAACATTCAAACATTAAACATGGTAATTTAGTTGAATTTAAATAATTTTCGAAAATGAGGATAAAATTAAAATTCCCATTTCTGCAATATTACTGGAAAAAGTTAATGATTTTAGTTAATGGATTAATTACTTTTATAA